AGCAGGAAGTCGCATTTCAGGTAAAAGAATCAGGAGAAGTTGCAGAAATCAGGTAAAAAAAAAATGATGACATAACACGGCAGGTCTGGACTTCCCAACTCAAAGAAAGAGAATTACTGTTAAGACTATTTAAAGGCAGCATTTGCACCCGCGTTATGTTTGCTTGAGTCCAGGCCAGACTTCAAATGTTCAAGCCTTTTCCCCTGGAGTAAGATTAGATTTCATAGGGCTTATTTCAGTGCAAAGCTCAATTTGTAAACAGCAGCCAAGAACAGCGTGGACTAAAAACAAACTAACAAACGGTGTGATGTTATTCTCATCATTTCTAATTTCACACAACTACATGCATACAAATATTTGATAACATGTTATTAAGTAAATGCTGAGATGGTGATATTAGGGCTGCACGATTATGACAAAAACCATAACTGTCTATAATTCCCTTGAAATTGTAATTGCGATTATTAATTACGATTATCATTGAATGATGTTTATATCATTGTTTGAAGCAACAGCATGCCATTTTTTAGATGAAAATAAGCAAGCTGAAAACACTCTGAACTGAAAAACTTTTATTGCTCTTCTATAGTATTAAGCCTCAAATGTGAACTATACATTGGATTGGTTTCTTCTTTAAATAAAAAAAAAAAAAAGTAAAAATAATTATGGTATTATAAAGTTATACTAAAACTTACATTAAAACAATGGAAAAACCCTTAAGATAACCTGTAGAAAGAAAAAGCATGCATTTAAACCTGTTGTAGGGGACTCCAACACATTAGGACACTTTAAAATACCATATGACCTGCTCTTTAAGAACTATACAGACAGTTGTTGTTTTCACAGAACTACTACCGTTTCAAGCACTGCGGTTATTAAAACTGTGACACGAGAGGCTATTTTCTGCCCTGGTAACAGTTTGGCTTAGCTGACAGTACAAACATGAGTATGTCTGGCACAGTGACAAAACAAATGGAGTGCTCTATATTCTGCACAAGATCTTACTGACTAAACCCCAATAAACCTCCAGCATAGCGATGGGCAAACAGACTAAATCCAAAGCCTAACATAAGTTAAACATACTACCATGCTTCGGCTGCACAGAGAAATCCAATAGCAAGGGGCATTGAAGGACAAGAGGGTATTAGGCCGGACCTTAAACGATAACACTGCCAAATTATATTGTAACCGCAATTGGTTTCCGCTCAAAAAATGTACTCAGGTTTAAGAATGCTATTTACATCATTGTGGTTTTGCAAATCTTTGAAAAAAAAAAAAACAATTCCCAGCAGCCCACAGTCAGCAGTAAATGCTGAGATGGTGATATTAGGGCTGCACGATTATGACAAAAACCATAACTGTCTATAATTCCCTTGAAATTGTAATTGCGATTATTAATTACGATTATCATTGAATGATGTTTATATCATTGTTTGAAGCAACAGCATGCCATTTTTTAGATGAAAATAAGCAAGCTGAAAACACTCTGAACTGAAAAACTTTTATTGCTCTTCTATAGTATTAAGCCTCAAATGTGAACTATACATTGGATTGGTTTCTTCTTTAAATAAAAAAAAAAAAAAGTAAAAATAATTATGGTATTATAAAGTTATACTAAAACTTACATTAAAACAATGGAAAAACCCTTAAGATAACCTGTAGAAAGAAAAAGCTTAAGCATGCAGAAAATCATAAGTGTACTTTGAACTAGGGCTGCATGATTAATCGAATGCGATTGTCATGCGCATTTTGATAGTAATGCCGGTTCTGTAATCAGCAGGAAATCATCATCACGTGCTTTCAGATGGAGCAGAATTTACTACACAGAGCCGTAGTTCACTGACAAGTTACGCAAAAAAAAAAAATCGCAGACAATTTTATTGCGCAATTATGAAATCGAAGAAATCGTTCGCGATAATAGGGCCTTTCGCACCGCTTTAGTTCCAGAACTAAATGGACAGTACTAAAGTACTTGGCCGATTTTGCGCGAACTATTTCCCAGTACCATTTAAAGGGTTGCATTCGCACCGACAGTGTATACTAGGAACTGGTCGACAGCCACGTCATTTGTGCGCGGAGTTCAACAACGAAAACAAAGAAAAACAACATTAACAACAGGAGGA